GACGGCTTCGTGGCGCCGAAGAGGAGAACGCACTACAATGAATTTGCGAAAGGACTCCCCTTGTCGAAGCGGTGAGAGGAGCATGAGGAGTGGCAGAACTACAATGTCGCCAGTGGCCCTGTGCTCGCGATAGTGTTAACAGGGCAGAACTTGGTGAGGAGGAGGCGGAGTAGGAGGCTCAGCGAGGATGAGGTGATGAGAGACCAACGAAGAGAGTGAAGATGACAACCAGTTGGGTTCTCTCTTGGCTATGTAGCAAAACACAGTAACACCATTACCACATCTGACTAACATTGTGCATTGTGCATTCAATTAGTTGTAAGAATGGTCATTCTTGAGATAAGACCACAACTTGGGCTGGTGCCGTGATCAGCAGGCGAAGGGCGGAGCCACGGCCTTTGGTGGCTTGACATGGCCAACCTTTTCCTGTCTTGTCATTGGCCATGTCGTACTTCTTGATCAAGCTGCCTGCTGGCTCGCCTATGGTGACAACTTCTGCCAACGCGGCATGGCTGATGACAAGTAGAACGCCAAGCGCAGCCAAAAGGATTTAGAGGCACAATGAGTGCCTGCTAGTCCGCATGGTGAGGCCGACAACAAGCCAGCTCACTGCAGCACTTCACTCTGGCAATTGAATCTCAGCAGCCTGAAGCTACCAAGGTCATGGCCAACGCCAATGCAAACAGCTGGGGGGGGATGTTCTGCCTATTTACTAGATTACTGTGATGGGGAGCTGGAGCGGCTGACAAGCTCTAGGCTGATCGAACGGTGACTCCTCCGTTCAATGGACCTGTCGGGCGCCGCACAGTGCTCCCAGGCAACATATCTTCCGGCGAAAGGTCTCAGCGCAGTTAGCCATGAACAAGCAAATAGAACGTTCAGATTTCGATTCTCTCCGCAGGTTGCCAGCAGAAATTTTGCCTGTAATTCCCGAATAGCAGCTCGGCCGAGATGGCGAACCGAAAATCTCCCTTTGATCACGGGGCGGAAGGAAAAAGGACGAAGAGGAAGACGAACCACCGTGTACCTCACCAGGAGAGGGGAGGGCCAGAGACGACCCGCGCATGGTGCCGGGCGGCCAGCAAGAGACGGCGAAAGAAACCTTCTCTGCAGCTGGTAACTGCACCAGAATAAAGAGCAGCAAAGGCGTTCATCTTTTTCAACAACACGCGAACTCTCGAACACTCTCGGACCACCGCAAACATCTTCAAACCTGCACGTCACCAAAACTCATGACCACAGTCCATCGCGCACGTTCTAACATAACCGTTGGGCCAACTCCGTCCCCCAGAACGGGCGCGGCTCCGTCGCACAACGCCTACGATCCCGGCGTTCTGAGCGGCACACGCGTCGAGCTGCCAGTGGAGGTGTGGGCGATCGTGTGTTCGTACCTCAAGCCAGCACGCCAGACCTTATTCGTTTGGCCGGTACTTGCTGGGCCCTGCGACCCCAGCGCTGGCCCAAGTCGAG